ACCTTCGCTTCGGCCCGAAATCTGAACCATTCCCCAAATGCAAAAGTTTTTCAATTAAATTTGTTTAGAATTAAACTTTGGAAAATTGGCTAGTGCGCCGCGTGGCAAGACGCGGGAGGGAAGGGTGCTGGTCCTTCAAGGAGTACTGGACTCCCAGAAGGAAGTCAACCCAAAAGTTGAGCACAATTTCACAGTGCTCCTCCTGAATGGAGGTCAAAAGTGGAGTTCAAGAGTTCCGCCCCCACTCGATAAAGTGCTGCGAAAAAAAAAACTGCCACAAATGGCAACAAATGGCAAAAATGGCAACAAATGGCAACAAATGAATAATTAATCCATTTGGACATTCCACTGAAATGGAATGCTGTGTGTTCAATTAAAAATTGATGGGCCGCATTTGTGTGGCAATAATTGAAAATTTAACGTGAGTGGCATTCAAAAATGTCTCGTCACGGATCAATTAGCGCCTGATTGAAGGTTGACCATGGTGTACCACGAGTGGCCAGCTCTAGCTCTTTAAAATATCTGTGTACTGGTTAAGGATAAGTTCCTATAGTTCTGTAAATTGTAGATTACTTTTGTTTATTCCTTTTGGGGGGAAGGCAGTGCTCTTTGGATCAGTATTGCTACTTATTGATTGATTTGATTGCCCGCACAATCTGTACTACCTTTGAGATGCGAACCATATCCATGCTGTCTCCTATCTTTGGGGATATATAGTCTCCATAATCCTTTGATCCCCATGTCATCCTTAGGATTGTCGCTGTGTTCTCGTGTTCGTGTCAATTTCCATTTCAACTTGTTGTCACATCTGTTGGCATGTTGGCTCTTGTCTCTCTGCTGGTTCTGCAGCAGGAAGGAAGGTGGCCGCAAGAGGAGCAGAAGGAGGAGCAGGAGGAGCGACATATCCTTGTACAGTTGGCACTTTTAATTAGTCGCTCAATATGCTGCCAGATAGTTGTACATGGAGTACACCCGTTTGGGAATGCTCTGCTCTGCTCTGCTCGTTGTTTGAAAACTGGTTAAAGCCAATCCTTGTTTCATGTCCAGTACAGTCCAGCCCTCTTCCACTCTCTCCCACTCTCTCCCACTCTCTCTCTCTCCCACTCTCTCTCCTCTGGCTGTCTCTACTTCTGCAGCTAACTCTATCTCTCTTTCTACCACTCGTTGTCTGGGCCAGGACCTTATCAGGAGGGGCGTTAAATCCATTTTACATGCTTCATGAAACAAATTGTGCCACACACGGCGGCATTAATAAATTACATGCAATAATTTTGAGTATCTGTTGTATCTGCATGGGAGTGTGTGTGTGTGTGTGTGTGTGTAGTATCTGTGTGTGCCATTAACAATTCCCATTGAATTTCACATTTTACATGCCAAAAACTATATAAAATATATACCGAGTCTGCGCTGTATATTGTTTGCTCAATGCCGCCACGTATGGCACGGCCTGCTCTGTTGTGCATTGAATTAAGGCATAAAATTGAATTATAATTACTAAATAAATTTAAAGTTAATTAGTATAAATATACATACATATGGATATTCAATATGCTTCAAGCACACGGGCTCTAATTAAGCAAATTAAGTGCCGCATCCGCATTGCATCTGTTTTTGTATTCGACCATGAATAGTTGTGTCAATTTCAATATTTTATGGATTATTTTTTTTTTTTACCAATAAAATTTTGATGCTGGTGGACATTTTGTTCCCTTTGTCGTTGTGAATTTATGACCTAATGAATGCTTCTTTTCTGTATGAATACAGATGTGGGAGTACTTCACCTGTATCTGGCTCACACTCGATTTATATTTTAACACCCATGCAGATGGCACTGGGACAGCTGCCGGAGCATGTTAAGGTACAGAACAAAATGTCTTCGGTCCTAGAAAGTGCATTCTGCAGATGCATTCTTCATTCACACAATTGTTAAATTCCCTACTATAATTTTTCATTGCCACAGAAAGTAATGCCCCCCTAAAGATTTTTCACACCTTCACAATTTATAGATTGCCATTAAAAAGTTTTTCCCTAGAAACTTTTCACAATCCTTTCGGAATCTCTGTCCCATTGGCTGCTGCCATCTCGTTTGCATAAATATACAAATTTCTTTCGAGCAGCTGAAAAATTAGACAATGTGGCATCAAGAAATTAACAAGAGACTAATGCCTTGAGCAAGTGGTCCGCCGTCATCTAGTTGATTGCGCCAGCAACAGAGGCAACAGAGAGGCAGCAGCCACTGAAGCAGCAGCAACAGTAAGAGGAGCCATAAACATGGGCCAATACGACACCCAAGGAATTACAAACAGAATGCCAAGAGACAGGCAAAGGACATTGCTAAAAGTTTTCCCCACCAGCTGCAGAAAGTGAAAAGAAAAAAAAAAACGCACACAGTAAAAACAAAAAAAAATGGAAAGGAGCGGGAAAGAACTTTATGCTAATTTCACTTTTCTTGAACGGCAGCATAACCCAATTTTTTGCCACGCTGCTTGTCTGAGTTTTTCTGCTCGCCGTCGAATAAATGGCGCCAGAAGAGCGCAGAGGTGAGAGAGTTGGAAAAGCTGAAAAGATATTCGTAATTTTCAACATTGAAGGCCACGCAGATGAAGCGGCGATGGCGCGTCGAACGCGACAGAAGAAAATGAAAGATGACGAATCCCAGGGATGGTACTCGCTGCTGAACTTCTTAAGCGAAAGTTATTAAATCGCATAAATTCAAATCTAATAGTGTCCCTTGTGACAAAAGCTCTCCTAAGAGTCAGCAATTGTGTGCCATTTAACAAACATGTATTTACTGGAGCTTATTCTAGGCATAGATTTCATGTTAATAAACAAACCCCTCGAGCGCGCACACTTAACAAATGGTCCGAACTGTCTCGATCGTCAACCGACTAGTCATTTTCGGCCAAGACATTTTATTGACAGTTGCTGGCACTATTCTTCTGCTGCTTTTTCATCGTTTTTGTCAATTTAACCGAGCAGATCTTCGAAGTTCTGTGCATAGATCTGTTGCCATATCTGAACATTTTCAATAAACATTAACGTCTATCATAATATACCATTGGATACCTCAGGGCATAAATGAAGAGCATGCCTGGAATACTCGTATTTCCATCTTCCATCCCTGAAATTCAAAAAATTCATTTAAGAATTTTCGCATTTGAAATATTTTTGCTGTCTGTCTGCTGTCATTTAAATCCATGTCCATGGGGTAAAATACAATATGAATAACTAATTAAACAGTGGCACTCGCCGGAGAGCTGGAGATGTAGATGCTGCAAGGGGGAAATGGAAGGAGAGTGTGGAGCAGTGGGTAAACAAACAAATGCGGCTAATTAACATTTTTTGCGCCTTTTAAACGCCGCCGCCTCATCAGTCAGAGTCGGAGGAGTCAGGTCGGAGGAGTTCACTGCCGTATAAATATCCCCCATTTATAGCCAAGAAAAAACCAACTGATGAATGGGAATGGGAAGTAATATAAAATAGTCTTTTTGTTTTTAAGTGTGACCAAAGTGAAAAAGTGTTTTTTTTTTGGTGTTTGATATTGTGTTTGATGCCCATCTCTAGCAATAATATTACATAGTCCTTTCTTTCAGTGTGACCAAAGGGAACAAATTTTAGTAAATGAACTGCTTCTAACTGTGTTTGTGCGGGCGGAAAAATATGAAAGAATTAGGCCAATAAGAGGCCAGCCGCGATCTATCAAGATCGAAGGTTCGAAGCGGATGGTGGAGCAGGCGCTCCAAAGTTCAAATGGCAGATTTAACGTTGGAAACGACTACAATTTCGTCCAATTGGAGTGGAGTTCCGAACGACATTCGTGTCTATGCGCGATTCAATGTTGCCAGCAACAAGCTGTAAATGCTGCCAGCAGCCTTTTGGCAGAGTTTGAGTGAAATTTGGTTTCCCCTCCAAGAGGTGAAATTTGAGTGAAATTTAATTTCTCCACCATGAGCTATGTTGCCAGCATTTGTTGCTTGGTGAGTGTTTCTCAGCATGAATCCAATGAAGGGGAAATGTTCCCTCGCATGTTGCCATCAACATTGAACCCATGTTGCTCTACATTTGTTGCTCAGCCCGTGAAATTCAAAAGATGTGATTACCAAACAGATTTTTGACATTGTTTAGATGGCTTTTACCGTGAAGAAATACATTTTTCTTTATCTCTGATGTGAGTAATTAGGTTCTGGGCTGGTGGATTAGGCAGAAGAATGGCTATTCTGTTCTTTGTTTGAGGTCTTTTCTGAAAGCGTTTAGAATTCATCCAACACATCAAGCAATTAGTGTGGGAAAAGGTTTGAGTGCAAACAATATTTGTTGCTTGTCACTTAAGTTGCGACTCAATTTTCGTCTTAAAAATTCAAAGGTTGTATTTATTTTACAAATTAAGCGAATTAATAACTTAGTTTTTTTTTATATCGTTTAAGACGTTTACCAAAATTATTTTTTTTAATTAATATAAGAGGAAATATTTTTCTAAAGAAGAACCAATCTATTCCAATAAATAAATCTAAAATAATAAAAATATAAAAAATTAAATAGTGAATTTTTTACTATATATTCTGCTACATGGCAACTACACAGAGGTAAAAATCACAAAGGCGACAGCTGACGAGAAAATCGACTAATCTGTGGTGAATAGGCGCGCCACCACCTACAAAAAACAGCCGACAGAGGCCGTTTTAATATTATTTAATATTTAATGCATTTGAGTTTGACTTTTTCGATCTAATCTCGACATTCTGTAATATTTATTAAAAAAAAAAAAACGATGAACCAAGACTACGAAAGGGCCAGTATAGAAATATAAATAATATAATATAAATATAAAATCGCAAATAAAGCGCAGTAGCTATGTTTAGGTACACCTGGAACACCTAACCGTTCATGCCAGTTTAAACCAATTCAAAATTAATCAGTGAGACAATTCACTTTGACTGAATTCATGCTTATCGGGCAGTTCCATAAGATCCCCAGATTACTTATTTATGATAACTTTCCTGTAGAATATTGCTCTCATTGCGTAGCACTATATATTGTACATACATATACATACATGAGTCTGTAGAGTTTACCATATAAAAGACACTTCCTTCGGCAGTGGAACTTCACAGATATATAGCTCAACGCTATCGCACTGTCTATCGTTTATGGCAGTGCCTCCTGTCCCCTTATATATTAATATATCGCATCTCTCGTTGCCGCCGGCATCATTTGGCTCTCCGGGATACCAAACGTCGTCAGCCAGGGGCTCAGCATTTGAGAACCAGACATGCATGCCCTTCACAGCCAAATCAGTCCCAGAAGTCCAGTATTGCCTCAAACTGTACTCAATAGGTATATACGCATCCATTGCGTCCAGCTCCTCACGGGTCTCGAAGCTGACCAGCTCGGCGCCCATTTTCCGACAAGCTATATACGCCTGATACCAGTTCGCTCTTTTATTATTCTCAATGTAATAGTAGCCATTGCCGATCTTCACGAACGGGTAAACATCTAAAAAAAGTATGTTTAGGCAGTCAGAGAATCACTTGCAAATACTTACATATATACATATGTATTTATGTACATACATATGTGTGTATATTACCATCTCCAATAATTGGTGTTACTTTATACGCCCAACATAGGGAAAGAAAGCCCAAGCAGGCGAAGACGCCAGTGTATCTCAGAAGCATTTCGACAAGGCTCAGATGATTCTTTTCTAAGGTTTAGCCTTTTATAGCCCAACAGACAAACGCATCTTATCACGAAAATCATTTATATTGGTATATTGGAAATTACGATTAAATAGAGCTATAGTTCCGAAATTGCAACACAAACATTGCAATCTGTGGCCAATATTTGATTGTTTTGATTAAAAATCAACATTCACTCTGATATCAGTTACCGCAAACAAAAGATAATAACGATAAATAAATAAATAATAAATATTTGCTCTACTGCTGCACCACTGACTATGATCTATGTATTTAAGTCTACTATTTGGCTGCGCAACCAAACAATACGAGTACATAAAAGATTCATTCTCAATATTAATGCTCGATTTAAAGGTAATGCATAAATTCTGTTTAGAATTGGTATTCTTTATTATCATATAATAAACGATGCTGTCTTTGGCTGTGCTGCCTGACAAATATATATCGCTTTGCCCAACTACATTGTCCATCATTCAATCCAGCGTATTGCGTTCTATCCATCTCCTTTCGTCGCAGTGCTCATCACCAGCATTTTGATACCAGATATCCAATGCTACAGCGAACCAAACATGATTGTCAGTGGCTCCTAAAAAACATCTCTGACTTTTTTCGATCTAATCACGACATTCTGTAATATTTATTATTCACTAAAAACGATGAACCAATACTACGAAAGCGCCAGCCTAGAAAAAGTGGCCACGCACATAAAAGATGAGTCCATCCCCTGGGGATCTTCAGTCATCGGAATTAGCTACGACAAAGGGGTCCTTATTGCAGCCGACACCTGTGTCCATTATGGATCGATCCCTCAGTTCCAGAATATGGATCGAGAGGCGGCGACTTTGGCGGCATACAAAAGTACAAGTGCACGATTGACGCACAGGAGTTGGAGTTGAAAATCCACGTATCTGCGAGGCAATGCTGAATTAGTTTTTGATTGTATTTAGGTTTCCACAATGCTTTACTTACGAAATATTAAAAGTGTTGTATGGAGTGTGTGTATAATGTGTAGTCTGTGGAAAGTTTTCTGTTTCTGTTCCGACGCCCAGCGACAGGTTTCGAATGGCCAGATCTGATCGGATCGGATAGCCTACTAAAAATGTTCCACAGGCACAATCGAAGCAGGCGACTCATCTGTTTGAAAGAAGCCCAGCAAAGGTTAGTTTTAGTTTTGACAATGTACTCATCCTTGCTTTAATTGTTACTCGTCGTGAATTTTGCTGCCTAGGTTGAGCCGAACATGTCCCAAAACAATTCAAAAAACATGCAGAATGGCGACGATTCCGCCTCTGCCTCTGCCTCTGTGGCTGTGGTTGTGCGCGTACGGCCAATGGCCAAGGCGGAGGTGAAACGTGGATGCAGCGTTGCGGTGGAGCGAGCAACGGACGGATCGCCCCAGGTCTCGGTGAATCGCAATAGATGGTTCAAGTTTAACCATGTTTTCGATCACACTGACACGCAGAAGGACATTTTCGAGACCTGTGTCCGGGGTAAGGTGAAGAAATTGCTCGATGGCTACAACGTGACCATCCTGGCCTACGGACAGACCGGCTCGGGCAAGACCTACACCATGGACACGGCCTGCAGTGGTGTGCCCGACGACAATATGGGCGTGATCCCGAGGGCAGTGGACACCATTTTCCAGGACATTGGACTGCTGAAGGATGAATACGATTTCAGTGTGAGCTGCTCTTTCGTGGAGCTGTACCTGGAGCAATCGTTCGATCTGTTTTCGCCCCGAAAGAGTCCCGTCAAAATGCACGAGTCGGAGAACCGAATTCTGATGCCTGGCCTGACCCAGCTGCAGGTTGGCTCCGCCCAGGAGGTAACCAAACATCTGATATGGGGCTCTGCCAAGCGCACAACTGCATCTACGGCGATGAGCAAGAAGTCTTCCCGATCCCACGCAATATTCACAATTACCATTGTGGCCACCAAGTTGGCTGGCGAAGGAGCCAACTCCGTGACGACGTCCAGGTTCAACCTGGTGGATCTGGCCGGCTCGGAGCGCTGCACCAAGACCTTGACGAGGGGCGACCGGTTCAAGGAGGGCGTCAACATAAACAAGAGTCTGCTGGCCCTTGGCAACGTGCTCAACGCTTTGGGCTCCAGCAGAACTCCGGCTGGACACGTGTCCTACCGACAGTCGAAGCTGACGCGCTTCCTGCAGGAGTCGCTGGGCGGCAACTCCATCACCTTGATGATTGCCTGCGTCAGTTGCTCCGACTATAATGTGGCAGAGACCCTTAGCACCCTGCGCTATGCGAATCGAACTCTCCAAATTAAAAATAAGCCGGTGATCAACATGATTTCGCTTTTGGACGAGTTCAGCATTCAGCAGCAGCGCAGTGAGCTGCAGGCCACCGGAGAGTCCGAGCCAAAGAGTTCCACCGAAACCGACATTTCGGCAGCGACTGAAGACCAACAGAGTGGTGGTGGTGGTGGTGGTGGTGGTGGTGGTGGGGATGATGATGGTATTGTCGAGACCCTCATGGAGCAGGCTGATGAGATAAAGCTGGCGTATCACGATCTGCAGCTGAACGACGGTCGCGGGGACGAGGTGCCAGAGATGCTCCACTTCCAGCCGGAGCAGATCACCAGCGAGCAGTTGCAACTGATCGACAATCTGCGCAGCCATAACCAGAGTCTAGAGCAGAAGCAACTGCTGTACGACTTTGTCTGCTGCAACTACTCTGAGCGAGATGGCGACGACGAGGAAGCTGGCGCAGATCTCTTGGCCAAGGGTGGCGCTCTGCTCAATCAGCTGACCAGCATGAAGATGCAGGACACCTCGGCCGAGGCACGAGCCAAACAGTTGCAACTGCTGCAGGCACAGATCACCAAGCATCTCACACTGGCCAACGAGCTGATGATGCGCAAGGAGGACCGCAAAAGTTTGAGTGAACTTAACGCCGAAATCAAATCCATAAATGAATCAAAATGGAAGATTATCCAGCAGTACCGCCAGTTGAAGATGGCGAGCAATATGCAGCTGCTCCAGGTGGAGAGCAAGGACCCTCAGACGGAGAGCACAGCGAAGGGAAAGACTAAGAGCAAGGCGGCAAAGAAGGGAAAGAAGACGAGAAAGTGCGAGGAGGCCCTGGCCACCAACAAGCGGCCCAGCCAGCCATCGACTCAGAGCCAAGTGAAGGCCATTGAAGACCAAAGGGACGCTTCCAACTGGATCGATAACGAGTTGAATGTCATCCTCGCCCTGGTGGATGCTGAGCACAACATGAAGGATCGGCAGGCGATTGCCAACGAATACAATTTCGTCAAAGAAAAGTTGTTAAGCGCGGACATGGACGAGGCTAAGAAGCCCAGATGGCTGGGCCAGATCGAGGAGGAGCACGAAATGCGCAACGCCCAGATGGACGTTTTGCAGCAGAAGGCGAGCATCAAAGACTTGGACAGTCGCCTGCGGGGCTTCACTTCACTGAACATCTACGAGTTGGGAGAAATCCACCAGAAGACGCTCAATGCTCTCGTCCTGCAGCGGCGCCAGCAAGCGGTCTGTAAAAACGAGCAGCAGAATCTGGACGCCGAGCAGAGGTGCCTGCTACAAGAGAAGGATCAACAGATCAAAGCCCTGACCGAGCAACTGTTCCATGCCCATGAACATCAGGAAGAGCTGGCGCAGAAGCTGAGCCTCCTGCTACGCTCCCACGAAGCCCCCCAACTGATGGACGGACATTGCAATGAACAGTCCGATGAGAGCAGAGGCACAAGCCAAAAGAACGAAGAGTTCTGTCAGCCCACAGGCAAGTACCAGGCTCCAGGCTCCAATTCAACCGAATCTTGAGTTTTTAACTTAAAATTTCCTTTTTTTCCGATTGAAATTGTTCCCGTGTAGAAAGCGAGAAGCAGGCCAGCAGCAGAACCGGCAAAAAGGGTTCAGAAGAATTACCACTCGCCACATCGGCAATCGAGGATCAAGGCGGCACCAGCACCCCTTCATAGAAACACTGAACAGGCGAAATCGATCTTCAAGGAACCATTCTCTTGGCATACATTTCTTTCTGTCAGAGCTGCCCATCGTTTGCTTCTTGTCTGTCCTTTAGACCCCGCGTGGTGTCTGCCTCCGCCCGATCTTCCTCCTCAAAGAAGACTCTTCGACAACCTCATATATTGATTTGGATTTGGGCTATTTTTCGTAAATATATTTTGTTACCAACCGGAACAAGAGGTGGGTGTTTTAATCACAACACAGAAATTGAATTGCCAAAATTATTTTATGCATTCCATTAAACCCCTCGTAAGTACACGCAAATAATTTTGTTGTTTAGTGGACGGCTTTTTTTTAATTAGTATATCGTTATTATCTTTGTGTGTCGTGGTTAATTGCAAACATTTGGAGCTCGTTAATTTTAGCCGCGACTCCGCAGGTTTTTCATACCGGGAATTCCGTAATTTTGAGGATCCAATTACATCCAATTACAATTGCAAAGCAAGTCCAAGCAGTCGAAGAATCCAGTGTATATCTGAGACATTTTGAAAGTACTGTGAGTTTGATTTCGGAATATATGTATATATACATTTTGATGTTTGTTTTTCGTAATTAACTTTTAAACTCCAAATGTGGTTCAGAAATTTCTCTCTCTCTCTCTTATGTTTCTGTAAATGGAGCGCGTTTTATATTTTTGTTAATTGCATTTGACATTGGAAATTTGGGAAGCCAACTGTGATTGTTAAAGCCTTATTATTAAAGCCTCGGTAGATGTAATGTAATGTAATAATAGTTTCTACTGACGAATGTGTAATAAAATAAGGTTCAACTGCTGTTAAATGCTGAAACGATTCTAGTTTCGGCTGTTAATTGGAAATCATTTTTCTCAGTTTTAATATTCAGCTTAATATTACCAGCTAGCTAGGGCTGCAAAATGTTGATCCATTTCGTTGGCAGGTATTGACAGATATTGTCCCAACGACAGTGCTGTTTTTTTTTTATTATTTAATTGTACAAATTTTAGAATTTAATTTGTAGAGGTATATTCGTCTTTCAGCATTAACTTAACTATTAAAATATCATTAAAAAGAGACCTTTTTTTTTAACGGCTTAGGTCTTATCATCATTTGAGAAAATGTAAGCGAGATCGTGTAGTCATAGTTCTTCCAAGTACCCCAAAAAATGCCGTAATATTGACAGGCAGTTATTTTACCATCGTCATAATATTTTCCATTGAGGGAACTGTAACAATAAGAAAATTAATACGATAAATTCGTCTGAATTCACATTCACAAATATGAGTACCTTCGAGAGCAATTCTTAAACCACCAACCACCTGCATGAGCAATGGCGCAATTGCCTTTCTCTGACATGTCATTATCCCGGTCCAATGTGGTAAACTTCATGTCTAGATTGTAACTAAATGAGTCTCCGGCTGTTCCTGAATACTCTCCCAGCGATTTCAGTTTGTAGTCTTCATTTTCGCTTCCTACTTTGAAATCATCGTATCGAGCATAGCTGGTGGTTCCATTCACATCTCTAAGTTGGATGTACAGCTCGTGAGGATGGGCCAGGGTCATTAGATGGATTGTTTCCAGTCCCAGGAAGAAACTTCCCCGTTCATCTCCAAATCCATTTTTGTAATCCGTCCAGTTGCGATTAAAGTCAACACTTCCGTTGATACGCCGTTGAATGACCGTCCATCGAGACGAATCGAAGGGACTTTCAAACTGCTCCATTCCCTTGACCTTCATCTCAAAAACGCTATTTGGACTATTGAGACACGAAATCATCTTCACATCCTCTCTGAGATTCTTGATTTCTTCGTCTTGATCGTCTTTCAGCTTGATTTGATCGTCTTTCTGCTTGATTTGTTCGTCTTTAACCTTGATTTGCTCGACATTGTTTTTTATTTCCGTCTCACTTTTTAGTAGCTGACTCTGCAAATTGTTAATGGTAAGCTCCAGTGAGTGTATTTTTTCGACTTTCATTTTATCATTGTCATCCGTTGCCTCTTTTAACTTGAGAAAATGATCGATGAATGGCTGGAGTACTGAGAAACAATATCCATGGCACTGCTCCGGGAAGCTAACATCCTGCGCCATTTCGTATCCACTGGCAAGGGAGGACATCCCCTGCAGAAACATCCAAAGGATAAGGACCAGAAACGTCGAGAACTTCATATTTCACTTGACTCTCGCACTGTCGATGCAAAACTGAACTGATTTCCAATTCAAGTCCCATTTATATATTTTTATTGTTATCACTTTGCTCATACGACATGCTTAATACAGTATACATATGTACAAGGGCGTAACCAGGATTTCGCGAAGGGGCGGCAGCCCTTTCACATGAAATCACTTAAACAACAAAAATGTCATTCAATTAAAATTGGTTTTTCTTACCAAAAACTATGCTTAATGGATGGGGGCAGCTTCATCCCTCCCAGCCTCTACCTGGGTACGCCCATGTACGCATATATTTAAATTTTAAACTAATTCTAATCTTTTCATATATTATGTATGTATCAAAATATGTATTTTTATATATGTATATATTTAAGTTGTTCGCCGCTTCCGGCATGGACTCGAATTATAATTAAATGGACCAAGGCCGGGTATGCTGAATATCTTATAGCTTTCGTTCTTTCATTTATGAAATTTCATTAAATGAAATTCCATATCACTGCCATTATTTCCATATCCTCAATTTAGAACAGCTACTATACAAGAATTCAGGGAACTTATCCGTCATAGAATCAATTGCCTAGCAAGAGTATCTGAAAGTTGTTAAAGTTATTCGCTTTCTTCATTTTAATCGGTATTTGCTGAAATGTCTGGAATTGTGACCCGGACTTTAGCCTCTTTAATGGTGCTATTTTTCCCCGAACATCTTATATAGAATTAATTTATTTCAATATTTATTAGATTTCTTGGAAATCTAATTACCGCCGCATAGAAACAACAATGAAATTTTATGTTTCAAGGCCGATGCTTGGGCTCTTGTGCCTTGTGCAAATCCATTTTACTGTATACCGCTTGGCTGCAAGCCAATAATCTTTGATGATTTATGTTGAGAATCATTTGTTGTCCTGTTTTCTCACAGCGTATTTTTTTTTCTCATTTTCTCTCCTAAGAAATGTACCATTTTAATGTGTTTAAAAATCAGAATTTAATTGTTTAAACCATTAGTTTCTAGAATGGGGTTCAGTCTATCTCTAATATTCATACAAGCGAAACAAGTGTCCGGAATGCCACCGAATACCCATTAAAATGTTGATAATACGAGCAGACACAAACACCAAAGATCACCAATTTTGATCCCTTCTTTGGGTTTTTCCCAACATATTCGTACAACTTGACAAACAAAATAATTACATTTTTGATTGCACATCAAAGAAGCCATACCAATGGCTATGACGCCTCTAACTTATAATAAATTCATCCAAATTGTTTATAGAATAAAAAATGAGTGACTTGGAAGTTCATTATTATTTATATATTAATCGTATGCATATTTTTAAGTTGCAAATGTGTAGTGTAGTTAGCGTGTAGGTACCATGCAAAACTTGCCATGCCAGACTTTGCCATAAAAATACCATTTTCAAATGACCGCCAATTTCCATTTAGCGCACAAAAAATACTGACATTTTTCGCTCTCAATTCATGGTGGGTTTTTAAAAAATTGTTCTCTTTTCCGAGGTTCTGAAAACTAGCCAATCCTGAACAAAATTCATTGAGGAATTGAATTATTTTTTTAGAGCTGAGAGGGCCAACTATCTAGTAATATTAAACTGAATATCAAAATTGACGAATTTCATGTCACAAAATATAATGGTATGGCAGCTCGCAGCAAGTACGAATTGCACGAGTCTGGCAACGCCACAAAAACGTATCAAAATATCGATACTATCGATAGTGGCTCACAAATTAATGAGTCTGGAGAGCGTTTCAAAATTTGCTCTCTTTTCAGAGGTGAAGAGAGCGCTTTCGTGGTGACTTTTCGTGGTGTGAGACATGTATCTTACGGGAACGCGTATGGAATGACGCAACAATGAATCAAGATACATTTGATTTGTATGGGAAAAAATTCAGCAGCATGTAGAAATGAAGAGGCAGCATTGTTGTGCAACTTTGGCACGGAATGAGCAACAATTTGCATACCTTGCGAAAATTGATATTATGGACTTGAGATATTGTTTGTAATTTCAGGCTCCAATTAATGCCGAAAGTAGTCAGTCTCTTTTTTAAAGAGATCAACGAAATTTTGTAGCTCACGGGTTCCAATAATAGGTATCAGAATTCGGGATAAATGTATATATAAAACACAAACATGTGCATTAATAGGTAAAAAACATGTCAATCTAGGATAAAATCATAAATAATGTTTCAATGGAGCTTGGAACAAAACATTTAACATCAATTAAAAGAAATACGGTATACAAAAGTTCATACGCATAGAAGAAACTTGGTTGACCAGCAACACTGACGTCACATTTAGTCAACAATAACGTTTTTTGCTTTGGCCGTTTTTGCTTGAACCTTTTTATGTAAACAATGCAATAAGAAGGACTTCTCAAAACTAACCAATCTTGTAGAAAATGTATGTATCTATCGGATAAAATGATATGTTTAGAGCTGAGAGGGCCAACCAGCTAGTAATATTAAACGGAATACCAAAATCGAGGAATATCAACGTTGAATGTCTTGAAAAAAACAATCGATACTGTCATGATAGTCTCAAATCCATCGATAGTAGAGGATATCGATACTATCGATAGTGCCCTCCTTGGCTTGACACCTCTAGTTCTCCGTCTTTCCTGTCGATTCGCCGGTGCAGGCGTGTAGTGTTTTTAAAGTTGGTCCACGAGAAAATCTCTAAACATCCAAAATGGTAGGTGGAAATAATGGATAATAATTGCAGCAAATGGCGCAGGATAATGTGCATGCGTCTTGTGTGGGGATATTTTTGATGTGCCGTCGGGGAAAATGCGTGAGAATGGACGTGGAAAAGTGCAGACGTGACAGCCAGCAGTTACCTGGCCCTATGGCTATGGCTATGGCTATGTGCATGTGTGTGTGTGTGTGTGTCTGGTGAAATGCAAGACAAAGAAATAGCTCAAGTGGACGGACGGCCAAGAATGACGTATGCAGTTTGCTATTGAAAATTTAAACGAAATAGAGAATGCATGTGTGTGAGTGTGTGAAAGTTGTGAAATATCTTTGCACCAAGGAATGAAATACCTGTTCTAATTATATAGCCAATGCATACACTATAGATATGTGTACACGTACATACCAATGTGTGTGTGGGATGTGATTTCTGTAAATAGTCGACGCAAGTGGTTTCTGTTCTTATCTAACCTCAAAGTCCATGGCATGATTGCGGATTCTGCATGCTTGTGTGTGTGTGTGTGTTTTAAGTTTTTGCTCTATTGCGGACGCCATTTTTAATAAATACATATGCAGTCGAAACTCCTCTAACCCTCACCTCTCTGTCTCTCTCTCTCTCCCCCCCTCTTCCAACACACAAAAATGTCTGTTTTTAGGTCAACTTCACCGTCGACGAAATCCGTGGCCTCATGGACAAGAAGCGTAACATCCGCAACATGTCCGTGATTGCCCACGTTGATCATGGTAAATCCACCTTGACCGATTCGCTCGTGTCCAAGGCTGGTATCATTGCTGGTGCCAAGGCCGGTGAGACCCGTTTCACCGACACCCGCAAGGATGAGCAGGAGCGTTGCATTACCATCAAGTCAACGTAAGCATTGGACAGAGCAAAGCCAGACACGGCGACACACCCAGTTTTCGAGACTAAAAATTTCGATGTATTTGCAGTGCCATCTCCATGTACTTCGAGGTTGAGGAGAAGGATCTGGTCTTCATCACCGCGCCCGATCAGCGTGAGAAGGAGTGCAAGGGTTTCTTGATCAATCTGATCGATTCACCCGGTCACGTTGATTTCTCCTCTGAGGTCACTGCCGCTCTCCGTGTCACCGATGGTGCCTTGGTCGTCGTCGATTGCGTCTCCGGTGTGTGCGTGCAGACCGAGACTGTGCTCCGTCAGGCCATCGCCGAGCGTATCAAGCCCATTCTGTTCATGAACAAGATGGACCGTGCCCTGTTGGAACTGCAGCTGGATGCTGAGGAGCTGTACCAGACCTTCCAGCGTATCGTTGAGAACGTGAACGTCATCATTGCCACCTACAACGATGATGGTGGCCCAATGGGTGAGGTGCGCGTGGATCCCTCCAAGGGATCCGTTGGTTTCGGTTCCGGTCTGCACGGCTGGGCCTTCACCCTCAAGCAGTTCTCCGAGATGTACTCCGAGAAGTTCAAGATCGATGTTGTCAAGCTAATGAACCGGTGAGTCATCCATCCATACATCCCTTGAGTCCTCCTTTGAAAAACGCTTCTAGCACAAAACGTGTGACGCTGAGCGTGCGGCATCTTGGAAGTGCCTCCGTATGGGGGCATCTTTTTTAGAGTCGAGCGTGCTGAGGGCGCTACAAGTGCTACAAAATATAGAAGTAGAGCAAATTACTTGGGAAGCTGTTGAAACGCTGGCTCGGGACCGCTTTCTCAATGTCCGAACGAGACATGCTAAGGCAGCGACCCTACATTCAACCGGCCCAACTCTCACATCTTGTGGACGAAAGGAAAGCTTGCTTCAATCTAACCGAAAACCATTTCTATCCGACAGTCTGTGGGGCGAGAACTTCTTCAACGCCAAGACCAAGAAATGGCAGAAGCAAAAGGAGGTCGACAACAAGCGCTCCTTCTGCATGTACATCCTGGACCCCATCTACAAGGTGTTCGATGCCATCATGAACTACAAGAAGGAGGAGATCGGCACGCTGCTCGAGAAGATCGGTGTGACCCTGAAGCACGAGGATAAGGACAAGGACGGCAAGGTTCTGCTGAAGACTGTGATGCGCACCTGGCTGCCAGCCGGTGAGGCTCTGCTTCAGATGATTGCCATCCACTTGCCCTCGCCCGTGGTTGCCCAGAAGTACCGTATGGAGATGCTGTACGAGGGTCCCTTCGACGATGAGGCCGCTATTGCCGTGAAGAACTGCGATCCCGATGGTCCACTCATGATGTACATCTCCAAGATGGTGCCGACCTCCGATAAGGGACGTTTCTACGCCTTCGGACGTGTGTTCTCCGGCAAGGTCGCCACCGGCCAGAAGTGCCGCATCATGGGCCCCAACTACACTCCCGGCAAGAAGGAGGATCTGTACGAGAAGGCCATCCAGCGCACCATCCTGATGATGGGTCGTTATGTTGAGGCCATCGAGGATGTGCCCTCTGGCAACATCTGCGGTCTGGTCGGTGTCGATCAGTTCCTGGTCAAGACCGGTACCATCACCACCTTCAAGGATGCCCACAACATGAAGGTAAACGGCACACGGCACCCCGCCAATTAATAAAAAAAAATATAGGTGCTAATCCAGTTCTCCCCTCGCACAGGTCATGAAGTTCTCCGTGTCGCCTGTCGTGCGCGTGGCTGTTGAGCCCAAGAACCCCGCCGATCTGCCCAAGCTGGTGGAGGGTCTGAAGCGTCTGGCCAAGTCCGATCCTATGGTGCAGTGCATCATTGAGGAGTCTGGCGAGCACATCATTGCCGGTGCCGGTGAGCTGCATTTGGAGATTTGCCTTAAGGATCTGGAGGAGGATCATGCTTGCATCCCCCTGAAGAAGTCCGACCCCGTTGTGTCTTACCGCGAGACTGTCAATGACGAGTCCGACCAGATGTGTCTGTCCAAGTCGCCCAACAAGCACAACCGTCTGCTGATGAAGGCTCTTCCCATGCCCGACGGTCTGCCCGAGGACATTGACAACGGTGACGTGAGCTCCAAGGACGACTTCAAGGTTCGTGCCCGTTATCTGGCCGAGAAGTACGACTACGATATCACTGAGGCCCGTAAGATCTGGTGCTTCGGTCCCGACGGCACTGGCCCCAACTTCATCCTGGATTGCACCAAGTCCGTGCAGTACCTCAATGAAATCAAGGATTCCGTGGTCGCTGGCTTCCAGTGGGCCTCGAAGGAGGGTATCCTGTCCGACGAGAACATGCGCGGTGTCCGCTTCAACATCTATGATGTGACCCTGCACGCTGACGCCATCCATCGCGGTGGTGGCCAGATCATTCCAACCACCCGTCGTTGCCTGTACGCCGCCGCCATCACAGCCGGTCCCCGTCTGATGGAGCCCGTGTACCTGTGCGAGATTCAGTGCCCCGAGGTCGCCGTCGGCGGCATCTACGGTGTGCTGAACAGACGTCGTGGCCATGTGTTCGAGGAGAACCAGGTGGTCGGCACCCCCATGTTCGTTGTCAAGGCATACCTGCCCGTCAACGAGTCGTTCGGCTTCACCGCCGATCTGCGCTCCAACACCGGAGGACAGGCCTTCCCCCAGTGCGTGTTCGACCATTGGCAGGTGCTGCCCGGTGACCCGACCGAGCCAGCCAGCAAACCCTACCAGATTGTCCAGGATACCCGCAAGCGCAAGGGTCTCAAGGAGGGTCTTCCCGATCTTTCCCAGTACCTCGACAAATTGTAAGCTGCTGCTGCTGCTACCACAACCACCATCCCCCCCACAGCAACAACAACGTGCGGCTGCTGGCTGAGAGCATGAGGCATGAGGAGAAGGAACAAAGCGAGCGAGCGTCCACCCAACTAAGCAACTCCCTACAACATCGACGTCGCTGCGGCCGCTGCCAGCGTTTTAAATAAAGTGAAACAACAACCACATTTAAAGAAATTTTGATTATTAATTGTATAACAGTAAACACACAACACCATAATAAATCACGTAAATGATTATATCTTTAAGTTTATATAAAACAAAAAATACAAATGGTGTGGTCGAAACGAAAATAGAATGTCCCGGGGTGGTGGGCTGCAATGAGAGGAGAGAGCCAAGGTGAGATGGCATCTGTTCTGTAACAACTCGTTATGTAAAATATACTTTCACCTCTTCTCAATTGAATAAGGTAAACTTTATGTATTGAAATGCAATTTGGAATTGGAATCAATTTATTCTAATACGTACCTTGACTTCTGTTAAATAGATTCAAATTCAAAAATCCGCCACACATCGATATCCTCTGCAATACAGCCGTGACAGTGCATCGATATTAATAACCTATCGATAGCTTCAGCAATGCAAACAGGGAAATGGAGCAATATTTGGAAACAATCAAATTAAAAACTGAATTCGATGCAGATGAGACGCAAAAAGAAACGGAAGATAGCTGCAGTCTGGAGTTGGAGATCAAGACGGAGCCGGACATGGACATGGACATTGGGCCGACTTGTGTGGAAGAGCCCAAGAAGTTGTACGACATCAGCCGGCTGCGAGTATTTGGCGATGTGCCGTTTGTTATAAGGCGCATGGAACTCAAGGACTTTCCGCTGAGCTATACCAAGGCTGTGGGGAGCGTCGAGCAGCTGCTGGCATGGCTGCGACGCAATAAGGTGCCAAATGGAATTGGGATTGGCTTTCGCATTGCCCAACATATGCCGTCCTCGTGCATTCTGATACTGGCGTAGGGTGGAGATAGGATGTGTTCCATAGAAATATGCATAAACTAATCGCTTCCAATTGCAGGATCCTCAACCACAAATGCCATTTCTTTGCCACGGACAAAATGATGCTGTCGAAGGCTCTGCACAGTCAAATGTGCAGCGCCGGTGTGGACTATCTGGTGGTCAGCGGGCACATGTCCGTCGGAGCTGTATATTTCGAGCGGATCGACACCTGTTTGGTCTACAACGAGGAATACAAGCTGTTCAAGCTGAAGCGCACTCCAAGCGATCCTCCAGCGCAGGCGCAGAAGCCTCTGCCGGCCAATATGTGCTACACAATCACGACAACTGGCACGACGGGAACTCCCAAGCTGATTCACGTGCCCTACGAATGTATTGCTCCTAATGTAGTGGCGCTCAGGTAAGTGTCTCGTCAAGAGCTGAATGTGTCCTGAATGTGATACTCATGCTCTGTCAGCCAGAAGCTGAACGTCTCCATGGCCGACATTATCTACCTGGGCACGCCCTGCACATTCGATCCCTTTGTTGTGGAGCTGTTTCTGGCACTGCAAACAGGAGCCGCCCTGCTGGTCAGCCACCACACGATGAGGGAAGCGCCATCAAAGGTTCTGAGTGCGCTCTTCCCCACCAATGTGACCACGACGGGCATTACCATACTGCAGATGACGCCCTCGCTGTTCAGGCAATTCGGAGCGGCTGCAATACGCGAGCGCATCTTGAGCAATTCCAGTACATTAAGGTGCGTGTTCACTTATCCATGTTCATGCAGCTCTTACCACCTTGAATCGATTCCAGGGTGCTTCTTCTTGGTGGCGAACCGTTTCCGTCTAGTGCAGAGCTGATCACGTGGATGGAGCCGCGTGTCCTGCTGCAGAAACACATTTGCAACATCTACGGCATCACAGAGGTGTCGTGTTGGAGTCTGCTGCACATTTTACATTCCCTGCAAACGCAAATGCCACTGGGCACGCCCATCGATGATGAGACGGTGGTGCGGATTCAATACCAGAGCGATCGCAACATGCAGCACGGAGAGCTCTTCCTAGGCAGCGCTACTCGGCGTTGCTATATACCGGAAATCGATGATGTGGAGGTGGTGAGAGAGGAGGACTCTGCCATTTGCTTTCGATCCACTGGAGATCTGGTGGTGCGCTTGGAGGATGGAACCATATGCTATGGCGAGCGCGCCAATGATGTGGTCAAGCGAGCCGGCAATCGCATTAGTTTGGGTGAGTTATGAAACATTCGATACAGCTGCAGCTAAACCAGGTCTTATCCCAAATCTAGGCCTAATCACTCGTAAGATTGAGAAATGTCTGCCCAGCGGGGAGCTGGCGACTTGCTTGTGGCTCGAGGAACTCCAGAAGCTCATCTGCTGCATACGCACGTTGGAGCTTAAGACCAAGGTGCAGCAGCGGGCCCAGACTTTCGATATACTGTCCAAATTATTGAATGCGGAGCAGCCGGACAGATTTGTCTATCTACAGCACTTCCCCTGCAATGTTCATGGCAAACTGGACAAGGAACTGCTGCTCAAGGAGTGCATACCGCTGGCTCAGCCTGCCCAGGAAATACTAAAGAGTTTCCTGCACGACCGACTGGAATGTGTGGACGTATCGAATGAAAGAATGGCCAAGAAGCAACGGCTGGAGTGCGGCCTCCAGCCCTGTGGCTATGAGCTGAGCTTTCGCCAGGCGGGTGGCACCTCGTTTCATGCCATAACGATTTGTCGAGAGATTGGCCTGCAAATGTGCATCGATGATGAGCAGCGACACGTGTTCGAGATGCTGCTCGACGAGAATGTTCCACTGCGCACCGTTCTGCGCTTCCTCGATACGGCCAAGCTGGTGGCAAATAATACCAAACTGAAGCCGTTGGAGCCGCTGGCAAACTGCACCAGTGGCAGCGGCGGCACCTGTGGTCTGACCATCACCCGCATCGAGCAGCCAGAGATCAAGTTCCAGTTACATTGGAAGGTCAACTTCAGCAAGTGCATCGATTCGCCGGTGTCGCAGTACGAGGGACGCTACATTTGCGTGGGCGCACATTCCCATATTTTGCGGACACTGGATCCACAAACGGGCATCGAGCAGAGCAGCGTAAAGCTGCCGGATCGGATTGAGTGCAAAGTGACGTTCCTCAGTGAGCAGCTGGCCATGGTGGGCTGCTATGATGGTTGCCTCTACGGCTTCAATCACCTCACTGGTGATATTGTGTGGCGCGTGGAGATTGGCGGCATGATCAAGGCCCAGCCATTGCTGACGGCCGACGGCTCCCGAATTGTGGTATGCAGCTATGCCGAGGACTACAATGTGTTTTGCCTGTCCGCCGAACGGCAGGAAGTGCTCTGGTGCATGAAGATTGGCGAAAAAGCAATATTCGCGAGCCCCCTGGAGCTGCCCAATGAACAGTCGCTGGTCATCTGCACCCTGGATGGTGGCTATACGCGGATCGCTCTCACCGATGGATCCGTTGAATGGGCGCAAAAGTGCAAGGAGCCATTATTCGCCACTCCTGTCCTGCTGGACTCGAAGCCCAGCCTTTTTCTGTGCGCCGAGGTGGCCGGACGTGTGCATGCCTGTCACGTGGGCAACGGCAAGATTGTAAGTTGGAATTCATTTTAATCTTTATCAGTTCAAGTACTCATTGCATTCCAAACACACAGATGGCTACATACACGGCAGAGGGCAATATCTTCTCCTCGCTGGTCGTCAAGACGCCACCCACACAAATGGGATATTCGTTTGTGGTCTTTGGCTGCATCGATCGTCATGTGTATTGCCTGCGATGCAACACAGAACGGGTGCGACAACCGGTGTACTTCGAACTGCAATGGAAGGTCGATATGGGAGCTCCTGTATATGCCACGCCCACACTACTCACGATCCAGCTCATCGGTCATCTGGTTTGGAGCTGCGCCACCGACGGCCGCGTCGTTTTGATGAATTTTCACAACGGCCAGATTCAGTGGTCGGCCAAGCTGCCTGGCGAAATATTTTCCACTTCCTGCTATATAGAGAGCCTCCGGCGAGTCTACGTGGGATGTAGAGATAATTATCTATACTGCCTGGGCGTCTAAACGCGCGAATACAGATGCCACAACATTGTAAATTGTGAAATGAAATTAGATTCTATACAGGAATAAGGATAAAATTAAGGATTAATCGTGAATAGAATAAGGGTAGGTCTGGTCGTAAACGTCCAGGATAATCCACCATTGTGCCAATTTGACAAGAAATTATACAGAATTTATTAAATTTATAATAAATGTGAAAAACGTATTATTCTTAGTCCCCTTGCTGCCAATCTAGGTTCAAACGATCGGGGATATTCTCGCGAATACGAGAAGGCGGGGCACGCCCAGATCAGAGAGAAAATAACAGAGTAAACGCTATTTTTATTAAAATTAAATTACAAAATAGCGTTTTAAAGGCATATCCTTGCAATCCTTGATGTCCTTAGTAGGTTCAAACGATGGGGGATATTTTTCTGGTTACGGGGACATGTATCACGTCCAGATCGGATGAGAAATGGCGGAGTTGCAGCCATTTAAACAACGCTAAAACGAATTAATTACACAAAATCCGCACATTTGAAAATCGCGCTCAGTTTCATGGCGGCCATCTTTTGACCTGATGTAACAAAGAAAAACCAGCTACGTTCTGCGCACTTCTGTTCGCCTGGTACTCGGTCTGAAAATTTTCTAGTTTTCGGCCATTTGAGCCCAACAATTTTAAAAGTTGTTGTTGTACAACAATTGTTGTTGTTGTTGTTGTCATTTGTTGTACAAAAAAGTTAGTTCCTTCATTGGCCGTCGGTCATATGAGGGCGCTACTGTGAAAACGACGTTTTGCCATAAATCGGCCATTCCTCCGCCATTTCTCTTCGCTTGTTTCGCTAAACCCCGTCCAATCCGCTTAATTCTGGTTTTCCAAAAGTGAAATAATAAACAAATGCACACCTTGTTAGTGAATTTATTGCCAAAAAACTGCCCAAACTCGACATATTGATGTTTTTTTTTTAGTACTAAGAATTTTGAATATATTTTTTCTGCCAAAATTGAGAAACATTTGGGCAAAAGTAGGGAAAGATGCTGAATGCGAGGTGGAAGATGTACGCATCATAAATCGTTTTGGGGCATCTTCCCGTCATCCACGAAGCCCGAGCAGTGTTCTCCTCTCCTGTCCGTCGATGATTTTGTTCTTTTGGACGGATCTCTGACGAGTGGTGCCACTGGGTGCCTTCCGGATTCAACTTACTTCAATTTAGTTACCACCAAAAATGCGCTCAACAAATACTTCGTCAACATGTCCAATGGAATCACAAACTTGTTTGTTTTTGTTTTGATTGAAGCTTGGAATGGTTGTGGTTTTGGGACGGAGTATTTTATCGAAGTGTGTGTGCTCGTGCTCCCTCCCAGCCACTCCCAGACCAGGGCCAGAGCTAGTCCGATCCTAGAAGCCACCTGTGGGTAGAGGAGGATAAGCACAGATGAATACGACAGCTACAACAGCTACTTACGCGGGACGGGACTTAACGGAGGGGCTCGGATCTAGTGCGGACCGAATGGAGGATGCTCGGATGCTGGTCCTAGCAGCAGCATTTGGGCGGCGTGTTGTAGCAGTGGGCCTTGCAGGGCGCACACCACACACAGGGCATGTTGTCCTTTCTCACAAGGTAGCGGGCACAGCAGGGAGCTTTAAGATACATCGGATACATGTTACACCACCTGATCTGTTAGGATCCAAGGCTGTGGTGCTGTGGCACGCTCAGTATCCAAACATGCGGAATGCTCGCACCGCTACGCTGCCCCATCTCATACAATGACACGCACGGACGGACACGGACACGGACACGAACAGACAGGACAAAGAAACGAAACGCAGCGCGAAAGGGATGAACACGGAGCACAGGAGGGCGAGGTGCAGGGTTCAAGGCGGACGAGAACTTACATGGATAGCTTGGGGGCGTGTTACAATAGTTCCAGACCCGCGGATCGGGTATGCCACCCTCGGGCAATGGGGGACAGCAACAGCCTGGCGACGGAGAGCATGGTATGGGCGAGGGAGCTCCGCATGGTGGACTGTGCGGGCCACAGCACGCAGTTGAATTACATGGACCACAGCATCCACCGCCTCCACATGGACCACAGGGACCACATGGACCACAGCATCCACCGGCGGCGCGACCACCGCAACCGCCGCCGCCGCCACCGCCACCGGCTCCAGTTGCTGCACAGCGCATCCGCTTGTTGTTCACGCCCATGGTCATGTTGGCGTAGCGCAGGGGGAAGGCTGACGGTCCGCAGTTCGGGTAAGGGAAGCACAGGCACGCCGGCCGTCCCTGGCAGGCCGATCGCGGACACTTATCCTGCAGTCCATTGCGCTTCACACAATCGCAGGTGGTGTACATGATGCCGCACCGCAGTTCACGGCTGCGGCAGCCTCGGGGCTGCAACGAGAGAGGATGGGATGCCAATGAGTACCAAGAGGAGGGCGGAGGGCCGAGGGCCTAGGGCTAGGAGGCAGCTGCAATTGTCTTGATCGCAGCACACACGTCGGAGGGGTTGGGTTGGGAGGCAGGGATGTTGATACTAGCAGGGTCCACACGGTGGCCCACACGGTGGCCCACACGGTGGCCCACACGGTCCGCATGGCCCGCACGGTGGTCCACACGGTCCGAATGGTGCACAAGGGCATGGCGGCTGTGGCACATAGTTGAGCGGCCCATTGGCGTAGCAGCAGAACTCTCGGGGCGGCGGCACATCAATCAACTGCGGCTTCGGCTGGCAGAGCATCGATTGGCACACCTCACGCGGCTCACAGATCCGCTTCGGATAGCACACCACATACGGATCGGGCACCATCGACGGATAGTAGATGACCCGCGGCTCGCGCACCATCTGCGACACCCACACGAGCTTCGGCACCTGAATGACCCGCGTCACATCCACCACCTTGGGTATGGTTATCTGGCGACATCGATTGACGACCATCGGTTCGGGTATTATCTTCTCGGTGTAGACCACTTGCTTCTTGCAGATCATCCGCGGCGGCTGCTGGACCGTGATGCAGCCCGGACAGGGTGCCGGTATGCGTGGCGCACATTGGGGCAGCGCCTCCAGTTGAGCGGCATTGTAGCACTTGGGCGAGCACTGAACGTTGATGATGACGATGACGATGACGACAAACGCAGTTGGATACCGGATGGGGTACGCGACACAGTATACGGTGTACGGATCGAAGACAATTGCAGCCGAGCTCACTTACCGCGAATGGTCCACACGGATCGCACATGATTTAACTCTAGAGCGCTGCATAGTGACAAAAATAAACAAGAAAACAAACAAACAAACAAACTTAATTAGTAAAACCGTTTAAGCCGTTGCATCAATTAAATCAAATTAATTTCACAATTTTCTTTGTATGCTTACAATTTTTGGTTGGTTTTTCCGAAAAAATAAAATTTAGAATTTTGTTACAAAAAATTTAGAAGCCGGCCGAAACGTTAGGTTCGAGAGTCAGGAAACGAATGAAAAATATTGGGAGCTCCACAGCTACATCTTTTTGGATTATTTGGATTTTTGCTTTTGTTCCCGCAGGGATTACTAGATTTGGGTAAAAATGTGAAACATAAAGTAAATATTATGGGCATCAAAGTAGCAGCCGACTTTTAATTCTTTACTCTGCTGCTGCCTATTAGATTCATCCTGTTTTGGGGAGCTATTAAACTCCGCCATGGCTCTGCCATTAAAGTCATTGATTTGGGCCTTTGATTTGCCCCCAGCTCTCCATTTTATGTAGCTTCAAGCATCTCTAGTTGATGATTTTTAATACTCGATATTTTATTTGAGTAGAACATTTTGCGCCAACTGTGTAATGCCATGTCAGCTGGGTTGCCGTGACTCTTCCTTTGGATAATTATCCAAATAATCTCCGCAATGGTCTTCCAGCTAAAAGGATACAAAATAAATTGATTTAGTATCCAAAAAAAAATTAATTAAGAGTAAAAGAGCTCAGAGGTTAATCTAGCATACTAATATTATAATAGTCTGCTAATAATCCGACTCATTTAATAGAAATGTGCATGCAGAATGGTTTCCGTATTGTTGTGTTCAATTGATCGACCAGGGCAGGGCACAGTATTAACTCACGATCCATCTATCATATTCGTAATCGGAACAGAACAGAACGGAACCAAAGCAAAGCTCTCTCTGATAAGCGGCAAGCGCTTTAGTTTGCTCTGAACTTTCAAGCCGAACGCACGCAGAGGAATGCCGAATATCGCTGTAATCGGGGCTGGCGTCAACGGTGTGGCCAGTGCCATAAAGATCTTGGAGCACTACCAGACGCAGGCTAAACCAGGCATACCAGTACGCGTGACAATTATCTCGGAGCAGTTCTCACCGAACACCACAGGAGATGGTTCGGCGGGCCTCTGGGGCCCCTATCTGCTGGGCGGCACCGAACAATCGAAAGTCTAGTAGGATGCTCCAATAAAACCCAACTAAATGTTTTAATTCTTCGATTATTGTTTTCGTACAGCAAGTGGTCGCAGAGTATGCATCGATTTCTGGAGCAGCTCTGGCTAAGTGAGGATGCCGGCGAGGCTGGTGTGTGTCTCATTCCCTGCATCCGTCTGAGCACTTCAACAGTGAATAGCGTTGAGGATTTCTGGCGCGACATTGTCTATGGGGCCTCGGACCTCACAGCTGAACAGCTGGCTGTCTACAATGAAGGCAGATCGGTGAAGTTTACGTATGCTATATGCCATAATCATTGCATGAACTCTCGCGTTAATTGTTTTTTTCATTTAGTTCTGGTTTGTCCTTTGTCACATACACCTCCGAGCCCGTCAAACTGCTGCCGTATCTTATGAAGCGTTTCGTACGCAACGGTGGCGCAGTGGTGCAGCAGAAGGTCACAGATCTGGAGAGATTTATCACCGAATCGCCCTACGATGTGATTGTCAACTGTTCGGGTCTGGGCTCACGCGCATTGCTCAACGACGATCAGATGTATGCGGTGCGCGGTCAAGTGTCCCGCGTGCAGGCCAACTGGCTGTTCGCGGCCGTGCTGGATGAGAGCGATGATGGCAACTACATAATACCCAAGTAATACTTTAATATACCTTTCACTATACCTACCAACCTTTCTCTCGATTACACGCACAGCACGGAGAGTGTCGTACTGGGCGGCACCCACCAGGAGCGGGACTACAACCTCAGTGTCTGCGAGAAGGACAAGCAGCTCATTGTGGATGGCTGTCGGCGGTATGTGCCGGGCCTGTGCCACACCAAGCCACTGCTGGATTGGGTTGGCCTTCGGCCGGGACGGGGCAAGCTCCGCCTGGAGGCCGAGCGTCGTGGCCAGAAGCTGCTCATCCACAACTATGGACACGGCGGCAGTGGTGTCACGCTGTGCTGGGGCTGTGCCGACGATGTTCTGGCACTGCTGCTGGCTGCCGCCAACAATATTTCAAAGTTGTAAAATCGCAAAATAAATGCTCTGCTGCCTGTCCCAAAAACAAAACAAAAAGGTGTACAAGAGCAGGGCATTATCAGCACAATCTCAGAGTGCAGTGCATACTGCTATAGATATAGCTATAGCCATGGCTATGGCTACAGCTATACTAAAGTATGGATCGTATTGGCGATAAGCTTATCGCTGGCCGCTTGGTAACGTAACATCAGACACTCTGGACTCAGACAGAGAGAACAGCCCAAGTATATGCTGCACATTTATTGACCTAGAAGTCCGCCTCCTCCTGCTTCTTCTCGGCCGCTTCCTTGGCCAGTTTGGCGGCCAGAGCCTCGTGGAACTCCTCGAATCCGGGCATCTCCATGTAATGAACCAGCCGACTGACGGGCAGCTCAAAGATCAGGGCATACATCTCATCCAGTTCGCGGAGTATGTCAAAGGGTCGATTGCTGCCCACCTTGTAGATGGAGTAAATGGTGCGTCCGATTTCGTCGTATTCGACGGCATTGGCTGCCGCCTGATCCACGGTGCTCAGCGCTATGAAGCAGACGCGCGGCATGTGCATGTGCTGGGCCACGGCGCCGAAGGTGTCGAACATGATCATGAGGAAGTCCCTGTCCGAGTACAGATCGTCGGGGAAGCCGATTTCGTGGACGGTCAGTGCATCGAAGACGGCCACACCCAGATTGGCCTTGGTGGCTTCCACCAGTTCCATTTTCATCATGATCAGCTGCTGGAACAGGCACTTGGGTATGGACGAGGGCAGAAAAACCCTACAGAGTCAGTTTCAGTATTAGTATCAGCATCGAAGCAGAGATGGGGAGAGTTAGGGATAGGGATTCCCCAGCACTCACCAGGAATGCCACTCCTCTGTCATCCATTCGAGCAGACCCACAGCCTTTATCTCCGTCTCGTCCGCACTGAGCATCATCACCGAGCACTCGTTCTGCAGGATATGCCGCACATAGTTCGAGTAGATTTGCTTCATGCCCTCCACCTCGAACAGGCCCAGACCCTCGTACACCAAGCTCTTCAGGAAGGAGTTCGCCCACATGAACTCAATCACCAGATCATAGTGCCTGAGGGCAGAGAGACTTTAACGTTTCACCTGTCAGTCTGTCAGTCTGTTGAGGGATCTACTTGCTTAAAGTTAATGTCGGTTATGGGCATGCCATCGTGCTCATCCCATTTGATGTCGTACTTCAGTGTGCGTATATCGTCCATTGCAGTGCTCTTCTCTGTCTGTGCCTTAGAATTTTGACAAAACTGAAGATTTGGTGGTCGAATTTTAGCTCAAATTTAATCAACAATAAACCGAAAATACTGATACAAATTTCTATTTTGTTTAAAGAATGTTTAAAAATTGAAATGAGCCAAAGCAAAGCATACTTCTGGGATGTTGAATTGCCTCGTCTTTTAGGCATGGGAATTTAATTTATATGCACCTTTGGCATGTTTATTAATTTTGATATAGTAAACAATTGGATCGAGAGCAAAGTGTTTACCAGAAGCCACTTTTGGCATGCTGATAATACGAATTTGTAAGCATCTGATCTGTTGAGCATATATAATAAATTCCATTGCATTGTTCATTTGCATGTCCAACCCACACACGCATAACAATAAATGTTTATTTTTACAATAAAATGCAAATGCAAATGTGCCGAGTGCTGAGTGCTGAGGCAACCTTTTCGTCGAAATAATGTCATAATTAAATGGGATATACAGAGGCGATAACAATCAAGTGAAATAGGTGTAAATTTAATTTGTCTAATGTCTCAATTTGAATAAATTTCCAGCACAACAAATGCAGCCGAAAGGAATGTGAATGGCAAAACATTTTGTTGGGTGTGGGTCTGCAGCCCAAACCAAATCCACCCTCAACAAGGATATACAAATTCGGAAGTAAAAACACGTCCCCAGCCATATTACACCTTGGATTCCTTCCTGTTTCTCGTTTGCTTTGGTTGGGTGGGGTGCGGGGGGTTTTTTCTTTTTTTTAGAATTCAAAACCCATCGAGTGTCATTGACTAAGTAGGCAACAACCAATTGGCGTCTGGCATTTTGGGCATAAGTGAATTTAGCATCGAATGCCACATGCCTCTGAGGGATGACAGGAGCATGGATCTAGCGGGGCGGTATCGGTATTGCCTTCAACCGGCAAAGCAACGCATTTTTAAATGTTTCACATCCTTGTCCGTGAGACAATTGGATATTTAAATACAAGCGACACTTTTAATGCCCCGCACCCGCACCCCGACCGACACTTGAGCTTGCCGCAGAGCTGGGCGCTGCTGGCTCTGCCATTTGTGGCATATATCTATTCCGTGCACGTAGTCGCCACCGTCTCATGTCGTCCGGATTAAATTCAATATTGAAAAGAAATAACTTAATTTTCAGACATCATTCTAATGCTTGGGGGTTGGGGTTCGCCTGGGATTGGGCATTTTTGAGTGTGGCTGGGGGAAATTTAGGACAGCTTTTTCTTTTTCTGTTAATATAAAGATTCCCCCCCGCCCACACACACACATGAGACTGTCACAGATTAAAGATGAAGAGTGCTGAGAGCTGCATACTCCCGAAATATAATGCTGTTAAGTCCGCAGTGGACTTTATGATGTTGCATAAACTGTTCCGGGCATAAAAACGTCTCATTTGGGACTCATTTAATCCGCCAAATTGTTTACACACACACACACACACACACGTGGCACTCAGTGGATCTGCCCTCATGCCACACCTAAACCCCCTAAACCCAACAACAATCGCGAATTTGAATTCATTCGAAAATCGTTTACCATTCGCGGCGGTTTTTTGCTGGTTTTTTTTTGGCTGTTTTGCCAGCCAAAACACCTGCGCATTCCCTGAGCATTTTGGCCGTTTTGGCAGCTGGAGAAGCTGGCTGCGCTGGCCCAGGCCCGTTCCGGGCTCCCTTACTGGCTCCACTGTTATCCGTGACTTGCATTCGCCAGCAACATTCATTCATTTATTCGCGGCTGTCCTTATAGCGCTTTCATTTAAAATCGAAAATGCGCATATACAAAACCAAATGAAATGCAACAAAAAGGCTGTGATCCACTGCACTTCGGTGACGTTTATATACTCTTAAAAATAAAAAAAAAGAATACCCAAAAATCTAAATATTTGTAAAAGAATGTTCGGTTGTAAGCATGGCTCCCAAACACCAACCCACGAACCCACCAAGATCTGAACATATTCCATTAAAACATGAACAAAAAACTGAGAAAAAAAAAACTGAAAAAAGTCAGACAAACATCGCTACGAGATCTTAGATCGACTAGATCCAAAATATATAAATTCATATGTACATACATATATGTACTGACTTATTTGTAATACCCTCTTTAAGGGCATACACTACAGCCCCTCGTCACTCGTAACGTATAACTCTTCTGCATAGATTATGGGGGATTCTAGTTTATTTTAATTAATATAAGATTCAGCTCTGAGCTCTTTTTCTGCCTGATAAATAGTTACTTAATTTTAACATTATCTACCTGCATTTCCGGGAGAAACAAAAAAGGGGATTTGCTTGGATTATGTTCTGTTCTTTAGGGAACATCATTATATGTATTATAGCGATGATTCCAATAAATAATCTGCGACATAATAAGTATATATATATATACGTACTAATATATTTATGCTTCTGGAGCATAATAGAGCATAATTGATTATAGTTAATATAAGATTCACCTCTGAGCTCTTTTTTTCTGCCTGATAAATAGTTACTCCATTTTAGTGTTAATCTTGCTGCATTTCCGGCTAAAAAGAAAACTAAAGTTTTGTTTGGATTATCAACAGAGGCAGCAACGTTTTTCTGGCAGTTTCTACTGGCACAACGATTAAGCATATCTATGTATAGCGGTACGATCCAGCTGACACCAGTCTGCCAGTCTGCTACATATTAAGCATATCCATGATTCTGTCTGCTATATACTCGTAGTACACCCTGTAACCCTTCTGGGGGGGGTAGAGTATTGTATAGTATCCACAACAAACGTTTCTTGATTGTCTGAATGGCTGAAAAAGCCGTTTGATACTGGAAACGGTGGCAATTGTTGGACCTGGGTTCTGGGTGCTGGATTCTGTATTCAGAATGCTTTGAATTGAGTGGGTGGGTTGAGTGGGGATTGCGGTGGCTGGGATGGCTGGGGTGGCTGGGGTGGGTTGCACTTGTTAGCCGCAAGGTGTATGCATCCTCATCAGCAACGCGGTCGGTCCCCATTTGCGTGGCGTGGCGTTTCATGGCGTTTCGTGGTTGGTTGTCGCGTGGCAAGCAAATAAACAAACAAACAAACAAACAGACAGCACAGCAAGCCAGGGAAAGGGGCAGGGGCAGGGGCAGGGGCAGGGGCAGGGGCAGGGGTTCCAACAAAAGCAAAGGGCCAAAGTAATTCAAAACAGCAGGAAATGTTTGAGCGAAATGAAAGGAGCCGGGATAATCCCAATGCCCCTCACCCTTTGACAGGGCAGGGCAGGGCAGGGAAGGGCATGGCAGGGCCGCTTTGGATTGTTTGATTATTTAGCGGCTAAACGGCGAATAATCTACTGCACAGTGCATGAGCACAAGTATCCTTCGAAGTAGAACACACAGAGGGAGCAGCTGTTAAAATACGAATACATCTAGTTAAACGATGAAAGATTACTGCCGCATTTATGGCTTGCTTGAGTCCCACAGTAAATACAATTGTAAAACTTTTCGTGTATCAAAAAAATTAAGTATGAAGCATCACCCAACCACCCCCCCACCCCAGTTGAGAGTCATCTTTTGGCCATAATTGTGCTTGTAAAAACAAATTAAACTTCAATTTTTGGGCACGGCACCGACTTGCTGGCTGCTGCCAGCCAGCCAAGCCCCGGAATGACTTCTCCAGGGGATCAGAGGAGCAGCTCCAGCCCCAACCCCCCTTTTGGCGTGAAAGACGTTAAGCAAGTTCCGTTTCCGTTTTAACTCACTTAGCGGCTTGCGAGACTTGTGCAAAAGTTTTCAATTGCCTTTTATTATTGTTGCCTGTGTTGCTCAAGTGAAATGCAAATTTATTCAAAATGGAGGCAAATGGAGGCAAAAAGTTGACGCCTTTTGCTGTCTGAAAATACGGAATGTCTGAACTGGAAGTTTGGCAGGGCTATGGCAACGGCAACGGCAACGGCAACAACGGCAACAACTGCGATAATTAAATATAATTTTTTGCCCATTTATATTTGCATTTTGTTGAATAATTGTTGTATTTTATTTTAGTTCGCTCTCCCTTACCTGTTTTACCTGTCAAAATTAATTCAATTAAAGTCTTAGGCATATTTGTTTTGTTTTGTTTTTTGCCTTAAAGGCGCTGCCAACTCCAGCTTAAAGGGCAAAGAAAATCAACTAGCATTTCCCATTAGCTGCACGCGATTTTCCAATAAAATTCGAATGGCCAAATCAAATTCCCAGCGGAGTGTAAGGCAAGCCAGCAACCAAGGAGGAGAGCGCTCTACGGAAACTGGCACAAAAACGTAACGGCGCAAATCAGTTACAACTATGGATGGTTATCTCAGCGGGTCATCTCCACGAAGGGACAATTATTGGTGGACATGCTAATTTGTGCGTGTAAGGGAAGGACAGGGCAGGACAGGGCAGGACAGGAGAGGAGAGGAGAGGACAGGACCCTCCCCCACCGCCTGGTAAAGCAGAATACCTCAATATTTGTTGACGGAACGTGATTTGGCGCATTTGCCAGCGGTAGACACAAACGTAGACGAAACATGCGACCGCGCCCAAGAGGCGCCCAAGAGGCAATGGGCGCCGCACCCACAAAGAGCAGCAGGATCTCCCGCAGTGCGTTTTTGGAGTATGCAAAATATGCAAAATGATATGTCCAGGCTGCACAAACAGGCGCTTGACCAGAAGGACACCAAAAGGCAGCCAAAAGGCAGCCCAAAAGGAGTGGGAGAATCACGAAGCGTAACCGTTGAACACGCAAGCCCAAAAAGGGTTAATTAATTTAATGCCATCACCGGATAGAGCGGAATAGCCGGAGCTTTGTGCTAACTAGACTTATTGAAACGCCATCAGCAGCAGCAGCAGAAGCAGCAGCAGCAACATTTTTGTGTACTGAAGTAGCTGCAGAAAGTGCAGAGGAAACTTCAACCAACTGCGGAGTATAGCTCGCATATCTGCCACAATCCATATCCAATCTAGTCGTAACTCGTAATAGACTCCGCCTTCAAAGACGTTGCGAGGCCACACCCACACTGAAGAAGAGCCACCAGCCGAGCAGCGTCTTTGATGTGAACTTCGATAAAAAGGCAACTTTACTTGCCGACTAAGTGGAATGGAATGGAATGCCTGGCCCCAGGCAGTGCT